CACAGATGTGCCTTTTGACTTTATCGCTCAAATTTTTCACTTTTCTTCTTTTGCTTTTACTTCATTTTTTCTTTGTTTCTTTCAGCACTTTTTTCATTCATCTTTCTGCTACTTTTGAATAAAGTCACATCTTTTTCTATCTTTTCTTTTCTTTTTCTCTCTTCAACACAAAACTCTTTTCATACCCTTTTTCTTTAGGTTTCCTTTTTCATAGCCACCCTCAACTTATGTATTTTGCATGAGTTGAGGTGCACAATATCTAATGTCGGGCCGGGGCCAAGATCAAGGTAACCTTTTTGAATTAGCCACCCTCAACTTAGGCTTTTGGCCTAAGTCAAGGTGCACATGTCCAAGAAGGGACCAGGGCCAGAACAATTATTTTAGGAAAGGTGAGTTAGGTGTATTGAAAGAAGTGGTCTATATTAGGCTCAAACATTTGGATCAAAGGGAACATTTATTTAATTTGGTTGGATCATTTTAGGCTTGAGTGAACTTATTTGAACAAGGGCCTATGATCATTTCCCAGCTTCCAGCCTAGATAATCTTAGTAGAACCAACGGGGCAAGTTCTAGATTGGCACATACTATATGAACATTCAAACTTTTCTCACACACACTTGGCACATTGTTTCATTATCAGATTATTAGATTACCCAGTTCAAGTTTTAGCTTAAGTCATAAGGTCAAACCGGTTCCTTATCATGTCATAATGAGATCCAACACATTCAATTCATCAAGCCTATAGATCTAGCACATTTCAAAGCTTTTGGACGGGTATCAATTTAACGCTCTTTATGCCATTATGCTTTCTTTCTTCTACTTACTCCTACACATACATTCCTAAACATGTTGGTTCAACATAAAAGTAAACAGTTATTTGGGGGAAAAGAAAACCCCAAAAGCGGATTATGAGTTGGGTTACTTAGACTTCACCCTAGCACTCACACTCAATTTACCCCATCCCTAACAAAATAAGGTGCAATTGCCATCAATGCACAAAAATATAAAATGAAACATAGGGTGAAGCAAACCTGTGGCGCATATGCACCGAAGACCTCTAGAGAATCGGGTGGGTCCGGTTTCCTGGAGCCCGCTAGATCAATACTAGGAACGCCATCAGTAGCGCCCTCATCAACTAACATAGCACCCTCAGTAGTACTCAAACTGCCAGATGGGCCAACATCCACCTCACAAGCCCGTTACTGTCTCCTCTCCTAATCGAGTATAGACTGCCTCTTGGTTTCCTCTAACTGTTGGTACACCTTCTTCTTTAGTCTGCGATCTTCATCAGCATCGGAAGTATGGTCGGAGCAGTGGCGCTTCCCAGCATCACGTGAAGAATTTGGTAGCGGCATAGTATCGCCGAATAGAGCAGTCATCACCACCTCAACTTCTGGTACCGCAGGGACAGACTTTGGCCCAGTCTTAGTGGAGCCTAGCATGGCGTCAACATCAGCACGAAGGCTAGCCAACTCCGTTCGGTATTCGATCACATCTATGGTAGGGGGGCCTCTCCAGGACTCTCAACTCGAAAGTATCCAGGCACTTATGAACGGCCTGAATCTTCTGATACATCATCTGCTCCATCCTCGCCTTAGACTCCGCAATAGAACGTTGCATCCATGGCTTCATGTGTTGCAGTAAAGTGGCCATCTGTCTCTCCAGCTTCTGGACTCGGGCTAGAGGAACAGAAGTGGATCCTGAAAAGGGAGTGGCCCGGGAGGAGCTAGGGGCCTGACAAGTGGCCGGAGATGGTGGAGCCTGATCATCTGTTGTAGGGGCCAGAATGGTGGTATCATCGGTCTGCATCTACTCTACATCCGCAGCTAGGTCATCACCCAAGGGTGGTACAACAACTTATGGCTCTCTCTATGGTGCATCTAGGTTGGAATCATCTTAAATGAGGCCTATTTCCAAAGTCTTGGTCGCATCAAACAACTGGTCACAATGCCAAATGGGAATAGAAACATCTCTGCAGAGCTGGAAAATGAGACACGGGAAGGGCAGGGTGGTGGTGGTCTTAAAGTTCCTCTCGTGGATCTCTGCTATCAAGATGCGGTCAAATTTGAACTCCAAACCTGCTAGAATGGTTGCAATTATCACGGCCCGATCCTATGTAACCACATTGTCCGCCTGAGTCAGGGACAGTCTATTCTGAACCAACAACCAAAAGAACTTCATAGCAAAGCTCAGTGTAGCCTTCCTAATACCCAAGCTAGGACCGAACCCACTCAGCACGCTCCCTATCATCGGCAATATGATGAGCCAACCACCTCAACAGTGTCTCTCTCTGCTCGGCATCCCTCTAAAATGCCCCGCTGTGAATGATGCCCATCTTGTAGTCATACTCTACTATATTGATAGGCAGAGTGTGGGCTGGGCCATATAAGAACCTGTAAATGGTGACCTCGGAAATGTCAACCGAGAAGCCTCGCACCAATGTGGACTGAAATGGAGGCTAAGTTGTAGGTTTGGCCCATTTAGAAAAGGAGTTTCTAATGGTGGCAGCATACGAAGCATAGAACTCTCTAGTCATCTCCTCGCTGTATTTCACGGGGTTCCGTGCCATCCACTCGCATCGGTGTCTGCGAAAGAGCTCTTCAATAGTTGGGGCAGTGTGGAGGCTGCCTGTAAGGACCCTGCGCTCCTCAGTCACGATCTTGGCCATACGCCGGTGCTCATTTAACATGGTGCCATTCTCATATATATGATGTTGGATCGGGACACACTATTTGTTTGGCTCGTCGGCCTTGGGGGCAGGCTTAACTCTGGTAGAGACCGAGCTATCCCCTGAGCTATCGGGATCTACTGAATAAGCAGTACTACTACTAGGACTAGAGCCGGACTGCGACTATGAGCCAGCATGTGCTCTGATATGTATGGCCCCTTACTCAGACTGGGGGTAGTGACCTCGTCGGAGCTAACCTGTTGGACTTTATTCCTAGTAGTGCAGTGGGGTAGTGGGGGAGACTATGGTGGCAGGTGGTACGTACTCTTCATCACTGTCCTCATCGATCAAACGTCTGGAAGGAGCGACTGATTTGGACTTTCCCCCTCATGCGTAAGTAGGAGCCTATTTGGGAGTCACGGTACATGTGGAAGCTTAGTTAGTACCCAAAGAATACAAAAGGACCCATGAAATAATTTTAGATCAAGATTCAGACCCAGACAAAAACTAAAAAAATTCTCAGGCAGTAGCTGAACTGGCGACCCACGTTGGGTACCTACGATCCGTCAATGGAACGACGGCCCGTGGATCCCTTCCATAGGTCATAGTACCCAAAGTTGGGTCTCTGATATGGGAACCAGGGATGTGTAGAACGGTTCGTCGATTGAACGACGGACCGTAGTCCATACCGTGGTTCTACACTTATGTAATTTGTGTGTGCCACTGGTCCACGGACCTTGACCTATGGTACGTAGGTTGACCTATGGTCCGTAGGTTGACCTACGATCCGTGGGTTGAATTCGTGGGTCATTTCTTTGCCAGGTTTTCCTCAACTTTTAGTCAATGCACAATTTCATCAAGTAATGACTCAATTTAAGTCTAAACATGTATTTCAACACATTATTCAGTAGTTCATCATCATTAGGTTCCAATTTACACACAGTTTAACTTTTAAAACAACCAAAACAATGAAACCCTAAGTTAAAACTTCCAATTAGAACTTTTAGCCTATTCATTCGATTTAGAGCTATCACATACTCATACTGTCATCCCAAGGGCAGTATATCAACTAATTTATTATGAATTTAACACAAAATCACTACCCAAAGTAAAGTTTCACTTTGTGACTTCTTAATAAAAATAATGAACAAGTGATTCAAAGTTCGGTTGAAATCTCTTACATTTCAAGTAAGCAAAGTAGATGAGTGTGTGATGCAACAACAATGCTCCTAAGACTGATTGTGACACCGAACCCAGAACATGGCTGCTTTATGGAAAAGTATAATTTGGAAGAAAATGGAGATTTGGGAGAAATGAAGGGGTAATGATGGAAATGGAGGATTATATGGGATTTGATTTGGAAGATTAATGGGTTATTTGGGGTGGATAAAATGGTTTCTAATGATTGGAGTGAATGAATAGACGTGGGAAATGGTTTAAAAGTGTGGGGTTTTATTCTTTTGGGGTCCGGGTCGGGTCTTACAGAAACCCTAGTCTGGACCCACGAAACCTCGTCGACGGTCCATGGGTCGACCTACGGTCCATCGATGGGGTCCGTAGGTCATGCTGACACTTGGAAAAAAATATAGAACTTACCTGCGATCTACGGACGCCATCCACGGTCCGTGGAATTACCAACGGACAATCGATGGGGCCCGTAGACCACTGCACAGCTATTTTCTGTAGATTTTGTTTTCATCCCTGCACACGTAGCAACCATTAGGAATCTTTTTTTACATTTTCTGGACACTTTTTAGACACGGACCCTATTCTATATCTAGCCAACACTAAGACATAAAAATATACACATATCTAAAGAGATACAAAAATTAAAAAAGAAAGAAGAAAACTCCTAAATCGAAAATAAAATCCTATAGTTGGCTAGATTGTACATCTTGGGTTGCCTCCCAAGCAGCACTTGATTTAACGTTGCGGCACGACGCAGACACCTTGATTAGTTAGACTTTATCAAGGTGCCAAGCCTCTGTCACTGCATTGACACTCTCAGAATTTCCCATGTAGCTTTTTATCCCCCGTTGGTCGGCCTTGAACCTTGTCCCCTTCTTTTTCTCGAGCTCAATCGCTCCATGTGGGGACACTTGGGTCACTCTAAATGGTCCGGTCCACTTGGACTTGAATCTACCCGGAAACCAGCAAAATCTTGAGATAAATAACAATAACAAATCACCGGGAGCAAATTCGCGCTTTTCAGTCTTTTGATCATGGTGTTGTTTCTACTTGCACAAGGCTGCACCTAACTTCTCCTTACTAAATGCTCCCGAATCTTGTCCCAAAATGTGACTCACCACAGATACCGATTTAAGATCACTTTCCTACTTCATAGACTTACAGATGTTAAAGGTCACCTCCTCCTTATTCAGTCGAAACTTCATCTGCCCTCTCTCCATATCGATTAAGGCACACCCGGTAACGAGGAATGGTCTCCCTAAGATGATGGGGACCTCAAAGTCAACCTCACAATCAAGTATCACAAAATCCGTCGGAAAAATAAACGACCCCACTTTCACAAGGACATCTTGGAGCACTCCGATGAGCCTCGTCACAGTTCTATCAGCCATAAGTAAATGCATGGAAGTCGGTTTTGGCGCTCCTAAACCTAACTTCTTATAAATCAACAACGGCATCAAATTAATGTTGGCACCCAAATCACACAAAGCCTTCGCAAAGTGCATCTTACCGATGGTGCAAGGAATAGTGAAAGCTCCGGGATCCTCTTTATTTTGCACTAGTGACCTCGAAGAAATGGCACTACAATGCTGCAACTTCTCATCATTCTCAAAACTGACAGCCCTTTTTTTGGTCACCAAGTCCTTCATGAACTTTGCATACCTAGGCATTTGCTCCAAAGCTTCTATCAACAGGAGATTGATGGAAAGCTGTTTCAACATAGTTATGAAACTGCGGTATTTTCCTTCTTCGGTCTTTTGCACTAATCTCTGTGGGAAGGGAGGTGGAGGTCTAGGCATGGGAACAACTATCTGAGTCAACTCAACCTCCTTTTCTGCAACATCTTTCGTCTTTCCAGTAACCTCAATCTCATCTGCATCTTTTTCTACCACTCTTTCAACCTCAGATGTCATGGGGGAATCTATAGTATGTTTTCCTCTACGAGTTGTGATTACCATATAATACCCACCATTTTTCAGATTCTGGACGGTGTTTCTAGGAAGTGTGCCAAGTTGGAGTGGATTCACAGTGGCGGATAACTGACTAAACTGCTTCTCAAGTTGCTTGATCGACACTGCATGGGTATCAACTTTTTGACCAATCCCGGACAACTTAGTACGCATCTCTCTCATATTTTCATCAGTTGCATCAAACCTCTTAATCATCTTCTGCATCATATCGTCAATGCGAGTCATACTACTACCAGCTTCTCTATTACCAGATTCTCTACCAGATGGAACATAGGGTCCGACTCGATCATTTATGTTGCCATAGTTATTCCTGTTCTAGTTGTTATCACAATTGTAGATCTCATCCCGGACATAGTTTCGACCTTTGTTTCCTTGACCTTGGTGCCAATTATCCGAGTTGGAACCTTGGGCGTTGGTTTTCAAACCTCCCATCTGATCAGTAACCAAATATGCATCCTCTTCATCGTAACATTCCTCAACTAGTGGTGGTGGAGCTCTAGTTAGGTAGTTTACCGCATTCACCTTTTCTGCACTTCCACTCACATGCTTTAGTACCAAACCCAATTATGTCCTCATTTGAGCCATCTCTTCACGAATATCACCATTGTCTTGACTAGGTGCGGTTTGGACTGCAAATTTATTTCTACCAGTATTCGCCTTTCTAGTGCTCCATGCCTTATTATTCCTCGAAATCTTCTCTCATTTTTCAGCGATCTCGTCAAAGGTGCACTCACCATATGATCCTCCAGCAATATTATCTAGCACATCTTTTCCATTGTCATCATGTCCTCTGCAAAAGTACTCCTTCAGTGACTCATCATCTATGCGGTGATTCGAAACACTTTATATGAATGCAGTGAACTATCCCATGAACTGCTTACAGACTCTCCAGGCAGTGCTACAAAGTTGTTCAGTTTATCCTTGTGATTCAGCTTCTTAGACACCGTAAAATACTTCGCCATGAACACTCTATGCAATTGGTCCCATGTATGAATCGAATTGTATGGAAGCTCAGAAAACCACACTACAGCATCACCGGTCAATGACAGAGGGAAGACTCTCAAACCTATGACATTTATATCCAATTCTGGTCGTCCCACACAACTGTTGCAGACACTTCTCAACTTAGCCATATGACCATGTGGATCTTCCGAAGCTAGACCAGAAAACAACCCTTTTGTTGTAAGCATTTGTATCAGACTGCTGGTTACCACAAATGTATTCCCTGAAGGTAGAGGAGGAAGAATAATGGCCTTCTGATTCAACTGTATTGAAGTCCACCCTGTAGTTATCACGCAACCTAGGTGCTGGCGGATTATGTACCCTCTTTGCATCTCCTATTAGATTACCACTATGAACCTGAGCGGCCACATTAACAACCCTAGGAGGCTGCAATTCAACCTTATCACCAAGATTTTCTCTGATTCGATTGTTGTGAACCACTTGATTATTCATCTTTTCACAAAGTTTTGCTCAACTCTAGATCGTAGGGGGTCAATGGTACTTCTCGACTCCGTGTATTGGCATACACTAGAGTAGAAACCTATAGAAAAAAAACAAAAGAAAATCTAAAATCAGGAAATACTTGACTAAAGTTCAGTAATGTAATTAAACTTAATCTAAAAGTCGTATTCCCCGGCAGCGGCACCAAAACTTGATATGCTCAAATTACACATTTATTAAAAGAGCATAAGCGATCGTTGCCAAATAAAGAACACAACTTGTAGGTTGGGGTTGATCCCACGAGGAAAATGGTTCAGACTTAAACTTAAATCACTATTATATCCGTTTAGTCAAACTATTTCCAAGAAAAGTAAACAGAGGGGTTTTTGTAAGCAAGTAACAGATTGTTGATTAAGTAACAAGTAAGCAAGATTCAAACTTTGAGCTATCAAGATGAGAAAGAAACTAGGGTATGTGTGCTCCCCATAAGCTTTTAACGAAGTAATCCTAACAATAATAATCCTTTCCTAGTGTTTAACATGCAAAGTAGGTAAGTTGGATATCCCTAAATGATTGGTCCTCCAAATATGGAATTTCACTGGGGACCTTGGTCTGGCTACAAGTGTATACTTTACTAACCCTTACCTTTTACCACAGATTAGTCATCACATCAATGTATGGTTTAGTTTTCACCCTCTCACCAATTGACATTAGACTACTAGATAGCATCCTAAATATCTGTTGGTTAATCCATTTCTCATTCATTACCTCATTGGTCTGGCAAGTACAAACGAGGCGAGTTCTAACGCGTGCACTCGTTAAAAAGACTTATAAGCAAAAGGATTAACAATACATGCATAGACACTATTCAAGAATTACTTAATTATTATTCATACTTTGTTAATTGCTCGTGGTTCCAACAACCCTAGTTGTGGATTTAGCTATTCATGCTTGAGAATTCACAATTCATAATTAGATAAGAAGAGTTCATGAACTTACAAGTAGAATTGATGAAACTCAAAATCTTCTATTGAAATCTAAAGTGAAAACTTTATTAAACGAATTTCGGAAATCAAATTGCTAAAGTTTGCAAGTTAATTCCCAAAACACCACAAACTAAGAGTTTACAATAATGTCTTACTCCTAAAAATGAGGTTTATACCTCCTATTTATAGAAAACAAATCCTAAATAAAACAGGAAACAAAATAAGGAAATAACTGGCAGGATGCGGTTTCAAACGATGCTTCGACCTACGGACCATGGGTCAACCTACGGTCCGTAGGTCCCCTCCGTGGCTCAACACTTAGATAAATTCATCAAGTACTGGAACATTCAACCTCAGATCATCAATGACAGACGTGCATGAAGGACCGTGGATCGACCTATGGTCCATCGTCTTGCTCCTCGGTTCCACACTTGTCAGACTTCCTTGATGTTCTACCTATGATGCCTCAACCACGGTCCGTGGACTAGAATACGGTCCATCCTGGCACTTTATGGTTTGAGTTACTAGAACTCAACCTCCAGGCCAAGACCTACGACTGCCCATCCACGGCCCGTCGTTGGACCTACAGTCCGTGGGTGGCTCTGTGGGTGGTCACTTCTACAATTTTCAGCTCACATTTTTATCAACCGCATCCAAACCTATTTCCTGCAAACATTATACACAAAACATCAGTTCTAATCAAAAACAACCCAAGACACACACAAACTCTAAGTGCACCGTATCAAAAATACTATAAACTCACGATATATTAGAGATCAATGATGTCCTATCTATGAGCCTCAAGAAGATGAAAATCAAAAAGAACCCCAAAGTGGGGGAAAGTCTGCATCCAAAGATGACTTTGAACAGTCTATGTATGTCTAGATGTTCCTTATCGCATGAGCCTAAACTGCAAGTTACAATGTTTTTTAACGCATGAGCCTAAACTGTAAGTTAAAATGCTCCTCATCGCATGATCCTAAACTGCAAGTTATAATGCTCCCAGATGCACGAGCCTAAATTGTTTGTCATAAAGCTCTTCAAATTTGAGTTAAATCTTCAATTTGAAATGCTCCTTGAAGCACAATCTTAAATTGTATATCACAAAACTATTTAAATTTGAGCTAAATATCTAAGTTTAAAAGTTCCCCAAATTTGAGGTAAATCTTTAGGTTGGAAAGCTCTTCAAATTAAAGCTAAACCTTCATATCATAAACCTCTTTAAATTTAAGTTAAAACATCAAGTTGAAATACTCCTTGAAACACGAGCTTCAACTGTATATCACAAAGCTCTTCAAATTTGAGTTAAATCTTCAAGCTGAAATACGAGTTTAAAATATATGTCACAAAACTCTTCAAATTTAAGTTAAATCTCTAAGTTGGAAAGCTCTTTAAATTTAGCTAAACCTTCAAGCTAAAATTCTCTTTAAGGTACAAGCCTAAACTATATATCACTCCTGATCTCGCAAGAGTATAAACTATGCACGGCACCCAAAAAATAAAAAAAAACTCCCCCTCCCCCAAAAAACTATGTTGTGACTTGATCCTCTTCATAGAGGTACGTAGGCGCTTAGAACCATATTCTAACTTTAGTTGCATGAGTGTCAAAAAATCAGATGTGTCTAACTTGATTTTCCACATGAAACTTAAGCTACAACTAATCTCTCATCAAACGTCAAAATTGCACAAAATGATGGTGACTCGATGGGGGGAAAACCCCTAAGAAATATCAACTTTTCCAATAAAAGTTGAAGTTTCCAAATTCAGCCAAGTATGAAAGTTGAAGTCTTTAGATTCTTAAATCAACAAGTTGCTTTTTCAAATCCTCCAAGTATGTAAGTTGAAGTCTTCAAATCCTTCAAGTCAACAAGTTAAAGTTTTCAAATCCTCCAAATATGCAAGTTTAAGTCTTCGAATGCTTTAAGTCTGCAAGTTGAAGTCTTCAAATCCTCCAAGTCTGCAAGTTGAATTCTTCAAATCCTGTAAGTCTCTAAGTTTAAGTCTTCAAAACCCCCCCAAGTCTGCAAGTTTAAATCTTTAAATCCTCCAAATATGCAAGTTGAAGTCTTCAAATTCATTAAGTATGCAAGTTGAATTCTTCAAATCCTTCAAGTATGAAAGTTCAAACCTTCAAATTTATCAAGTCTGCAAGTTGAAGTCTTTAAATCTTCCAAGGATGCAAGTTGAAGTCTTCAAAATCTTCAAGTATGCAAGTTGAAGTCTTCAAATCCTTCAAGTCTGCAAGTTGAAGTCTTCAAAATCTTCAAGTCTTCAATAAAGTCTTTAAATCTTCCAAATATGCAAGTTGAAGTCTTCAAATTCTTCGAGTATGCGAGTTGAAATCTTCAAATCCTCCAAGTTTGAAAGTTAAAGTTTTTAGATCCACCAAATATGCAAGTTGAAGTCTTCAAATTGTTTCGTCAATGCAAGTTGAAGTCTTCAAATCCTCCAAGTATGTAAGTTATTAAATTTGCATGCCTTAAGGTGGATCAAATTATCGCTTTGCGCCTTAAGCTGGCCTTTTCGTTGATTTATCCTCAAAAGGATCTTTATATTTCCATGCCTTAAGGTGGACTAAATTGTCCCTTTGCACCTTAAGTTGGTCATTTCACGGATTTATCCTTTAAAAATATCTTTAATTTTGTGTGCCTTAAGGTGGATAAAATTTTCCCTTTACACATTAAGTTGGCCTTTTCATGGATTTATCCTTAACAATATCTCTTAATTTACATGCCTTAAAGGTGGACAAAATTTGTCCCTTTGCACCTTAAGCTGGTCTTTTTACAAATTTATCCTTAAAAGGATCTTTAAATTTTCATGTTTTAAGGTGGACAAAATTTATTGTTTCACACCTTATGCTTAAATATTCGGGTTCTCATAAAACCTTAAATTTGTGATCTTAAGGTGAGAATGTTAAACACAGCCCTTCACACCTTATTCTCAAGTATTTGAGATCTCATAAATCACAATTTTTTTATCTTAAGGTGGGGATGTTAACACCCCTTCACATCTTATGCTCAAGTATTTGCGATTTCATATAATCACAATTTTTTTATCTCAAGGTGGGAACATTAAACATATCCGTTCATACCTCAAGATCAAATTTTGTTATGATAAAACTCTCTATTGCGTAGCCTCCACAAAATATAAATATTGATTCAATTGATCTAAAAAAAACACAAAGAAAACACAAGTAAATGAGAGATTATTACTTCTCAAGACATTTGACACTTCGAAGCCATGCTAAGCTAACTAGGTTAGAGTTGAGACAATGTTTTCTTGGTGATAATGAAGCCCTTGAAGTATAGTTTCCAGAGATCACAAACCTTTTTGGTGATGACGTTTGATGTGCCACAAAATCTTGGCACATTTGATGCTTGAAAACAAAGGATTAATACTAGAATCGAGTGTATTTATGTGGATATGATGTGTTTGGCAGTGTTTGTACAGGTAAAACATGTGGACATGGAAAAAGAGAGAAAAGAAGAAAATGCAGAATGAAAGTGAATGGAACCAAGTGAAGATCACAGACACCTTGATGGGTCGTAAAGATCGTGATTGATCGTGATAGGGCTCGTGAATTAGAACCAGTGAGAAGGCATGGAAGAATTAAATTTTGGTGGACCAAGTAAAGACCACGGATGCCTTCACGGGTCATTGTCCTCACAACGGTCTGTGGTAGTGTCCGTACAGTTGAACCAGTGAAGAGACCTTGAGAAGCTGAAAATTAATTTGGCCAAGTAAAGACCACGGACACCTATACGGACCGTGACAAGATTCCAGTGTGCAAGCCTTGAAAAACCCAGTTTTGAGAGTTCAAGTACAGACCACGGAGGGCTTCACGGACAGTGAAGCCCTCGGCGGATCGTCAGAGTGTCCGTGGAGTTGTGCGACAGTTCAGTCCTACTTCGAGTAGGACTCATTTTAGACATTATATTTTGAATTAATTAGGTCATTTTTTTGTTTTTATCTCATCATATCTAGAATGAGCCACTAAGATTCAAATATTCTTAGCTTGGGTTTTGG